CAAAAAGCCAATACCAAGATTTTTCTCCATCTATGCATCTGATTCTTAGAATATGCCTTTTATTTTAGATCAAAGCATCAAAATTTTCTTTGATTCAAAACAACCGTGTAGAGCCAGCATTTACATCTAAAGTCAACTTATTTATAATCACAGGTTTTTTTAAATCCCTGATTTTCTTTTCTTCGCTATCATGCAGAGTGCTAGTGATGGTACACCTTGGATAGGAACAGCTCTGCTTTGTTTTGCGGGCAGCCTCCTTTACAGACACAGGAAATTAAAAATGCAAACGCTACAAGCTGGTCAGTCAGGAAACCGGCACTGTGAGCGTTATGGCTCTGAGGGTACAAGTCAGGGAATCCGTTTTCCCCTTAACAGGAGTATGTTATTAAATAATTTGTTGTTTTCTTTAACTAGAATTACCCCCCTTCCACTAACTGGAGAAGTAAGTCCAAATTAAAATCGCTATTTGTCAATTACCTGCTAGAGGTACGCTCAGGCCTTGGGTTGGGTGGTGGTGGTTGAGTCGCTAAGTCGTGTCTGACTCTTTGCCACCCCATGGACTGTAGCCTGCCAGACTCTTCTGTCCATGGGATTCTCCAGGCAAGAATAATGGAGTGGGTTGCCATTTCCTTCTCCAGAGAATCTTCCCAACCCAGAGATCGAACCCTGGTCTCCTGCATTGCAGGCAGATTGTTTACCGATTAAGCTACAAGGGAAGTCCCTTGGGTTAGGACCAACGCGATAAAGCTCATCAGCTGTCGTTATAATCACCATTAGCTCAAAGCGCTCAGAAGGCATAATTTGGGGTAGGGGAGATGTTGGAAACTCCTAGTTACTGTCGACATGAAGACAGACATCGTTGAGGATTTTAAATTTACTGAATTAGTCTTTATTTTTTCAGTGAGTTCTAATTTTTTCCTCGTTCTGGGAGGACTTGCTCAGCATACAGGGTACAGTAGTGAATATAATGACCTGGTCCCTGTCTACATACAGCTTATATTCTAGGGGAGGGGATGCTAAGACTTGAGAAATCATAATCACAAATGTGATAAGCACTTCAGAGGAAGGGAATGGGGTCTGAGAAGGAGTAATGGAGAGGTGGCACGGGTGAGTCAGGGAATCTTCTCTAAGGAAGCAACACTTCAGCTACACTCCTCCTAATATGCGTCTCTCGAGTCTGTTATCATCACCCTTTCCTAGTCCTCCTATGTCCCCCTGGCCATTCCAGCTCAAATTTCTCTCACTGTGGGTTCCTCTTCTTCTATCCCAAACCCAGGTTCTGAAGTTGTCCAGGTCTAAGATCTCCATCCTCTTCTCACTCCAAAGCTCCCCCTAAGGCACGCCCTTCCACTCTGATGTCAAGCATCACCTACAATCAACAATCCCTAATTTAGTTTTCCAGTCCAGAACTCTTTTCCAAGCTTTGAATCCATATGTCAGCTGCCTACATGACACCTTCATTTGCATCCCTCACGGGAATCTCAAATGTAACATAGCCCATGCTGAAGTTAAGACATTTCTCTCTAGCATCTTCTCTTCCTTCTGCCATTTCTGTCTCCTTACATAAGACCATTCACTTAGTGGCTGCGTCACTCATCAGGGAGTCAACCATGACACCTGCTTCCTCCTCGTGTCCCATATATAACTGGGAGTTCAGCCCGGTCTAGTTGGTAGCTGAAATATGTCTTGAATTTTGTCACATTTTCCCATCTACCCTACCATCAGCTCTTGTTTGGGTACTACAAGCCTTTTCTCTTGTATCTATTCTGTTCCCTTCCAAATTGCTGTCTTAAATGGAAATCTTTCCTGATTACTCCTTGTTTTTAAAATTCTTACACTGTTCTAAACATTGAATCTAAAATTGTTAAAATGGCTTCTAAGACCTTGCATGATCCAACCACTGCCTAATCTTTTGGTCTCATCTCATGCCAATCTGAGTATTATTCATTGTTCAATGAACCTCTTTCAGTTTTTAAAATTAAGAAGGAAAAAAAAAGGACCCTCATTTCTTAAAGACTTTGCACATATTGTTCCTTCCATCTGGAACTTCTCAGGTCTGCTTTATAGCCTGAGTAAACATACTGTTTTCTGTCTCAGATACCAGAACATTCAGCTTCAAGTAATAGATTACCTAGTGGAAGAAGTTTTATTATTAATAATAGCAATAAGGATACTTACTTGTACCTCATATCACAAAAGTCTGGAAGTGGGCACTTTCAAAGTGAGTACAACGTCATCCAAGACTTTCCCCTTTTCTGTCCTGCTATTCTGTGCTTGTCTCTTTTTAATTTAGGGTCATCACCTCATGGCTACAAAGTGGCTGTCAGAGCTCCCTACATCATGGTCTGATACAACACTGTTTCTGCATTCATGGTAGAAAAAGGGAAAGAAGGCTCTCCTCTTGTGTATACCAACTCTCTCAGAAATCAAAACATTTGTTTCACATTTTCCCCTCATCATAGAGGTCATATCTGTGTCATAAGGTGACTCTTACCTGTCAGGGGGGCTGGTTAGATGAGCATCAGGAGACAGAAGGGCTGGTGAATCATGATGGCTGGTGAATACATAATTAACTATTTCCCACATGGCCTTCAGAGCACTTACCAAATTAGTAATCAAACAACAGGCAGGCACACTTTGCTCTCTGCCTCCTCTGTGAGATCATATGCTCTTTGACTATGGGGAACACATCTGTTTCTAAACCCAGCAGCAGTACTGTGCCTGATCTATGTAGGAAGCAGCTGGTTGTGGGAGAGTGAATGAAAGTATGAGAGAACAACAGAGGCAGAAACCAGGTACAAAAGGGGGAGAAAACTCCCAGCACAGAACTTGAGCTGATGGTCGTCTCTCATACCTCACGGCTCCACTCCGCATTCCAGTTAATTTGAAAACAGTCTTTCATCAAAAAAGAACAACTTTTGAAAGTGCTGCATTCTCTGCACCGTGAACGCAATTTTCCTAACCTCTTAATCCGTGCCATGTGAGCAAACATGGGGACTATAGTTTGCATTGAGATCCAGGAATGAATTCTTCAGCAAAAAATTTTTAACCACTGTTATAGAGTTAGATGATCCAGAAAATTTTAAATTGCCTCAAGGACATGAATGTAAATCAATACTTGGCTAAATCACTCCAAATATCATTCAACAAGAAAAATTTATAAAAGCTAGAAAGCTATTTAAAAGAAGAGTCATAAAATTTGGGGTCTAAATTTTCCACTCCTGAGAGCATCACACTAACAGATAAAGAAGTCATCCAGACGACTGGCTGAGGGAGAAAGTGGATGTAAAATGCCTGGTACTTGAAGGATGCTTGGCATAGTATTTTTTTCTTATATCTGGACCACAGGAAAATCTGATTTATTCCTAACTCTTTCACGTCCCATCTATGTAATTGTAGGCAAGTTGAATATATTCTTTGGTTCATAAATAGTATAGTAATTTTAAACCACCTTCCAGTTATAACATGCAGTCACTCTATTATTTAAAAACTTAAGTTAATAAAAGTTAAATGGCATTGAACACAGTCCAGAGTAGCCAATCTAATAAAACGTGAAAGAATAGATTCATATTCCCAAGATGCAGAATCTGTTCATATTTTTTGATGAGCATTCTCTCTGGTCATCTCAAAACACAAAAGGCACTCACTGACATGCAAATACCACAAAATATTTTCTTTAAGAAAATTATGACACAGACAAGATGAGACTTCAGATTTTCAATACGGTTGTCATTTGAAATAAAATTCCTTAAAAAGAGAAAATGACTTTAGCGCTGGCAAAGGGAGTCCCCTAAGAAAAAGGTGTAAACAGATGGCTGTGAAAGATCACCCACATGCTGCACGCAGATCTCGAGGAGACATTTCTAAGAATGAGGCGGCACTTCCCAGCCTGGGCCACGGCCCACTAGTAATTTTAAACCACCTTCCAGTTATAACATGCAGTCACTCTATTATTTAAAAACTTAAGTTAATAAAAGTTAAATGGCATTGAACACAGTCCAGAGTAGCCAATCTAATAAAACGTGAAAGAATAGATTCATATTCCCAAGATGCAGAATCTGTTCATATTTTTTGATGAGCATTCTCTCTGGTCATCTCAAAACACAAAAGGCACTCACTGACATGCAAATACCACAAAATATTTTCTTTAAGAAAATTATGACACAGACAAGATGAGACTTCAGATTTTCAATACGGTTGTCATTTGAAATAAAATTCCTTAAAAAGAGAAAATGACTTTAGCGCTGGCAAAGGGACTCCCCTAAGAAAAAGGTGTAAACAGATGGCTGTGAAAGATCACCCACATGCTGCACGCAGATCTCGAGGAGACATTTCTAAGAATGAGGCGGCACTTCCCAGCCTGGGCCACGGCCCACAAGGATCCTTATTTAACCCAAAGAAAGCAGAGGGTTTTCACCTCTAACCAAGAAGAACCTCAGCCTGCTTGCCTCACAGCGATCCAGACCAGTCTCCAGCACTCCCCGGTGTCCCAACAGAAGCTAAGTACCAATCGCTTGAGACAGGCAATCCTCTAGTAAATCAGGGTTTGAGATCAGCCCTGAACCAACGTCTTCCCATAAAAATGGGCCGTTAAGCCCCAGCTAAGCATATTAAGCATTCAATTTAATGTGTGACACACATCTGCTCTCCTTTCTCAGGGAGGAGAAGTTTCAAGATAACTTAAATCCCGGACTTAATCAAGGGGAAAAAAAAAATTTTGGCTATGTTTAAAACTGAGCTTTAAAATATAACCCCAAAGAGGGTGAGAGAGACCATTTAGCTGTAACTAATGAGATTATATAACACCTAAATCAAACACAGGTTACCTGAGCTGAAGTACTCCATCTTTTATCTGGGCCCATTCATCTTTCCATTTGATGCCATCAACACTTACCAAAGATTGTCATCTACCTCTGGCCCAAGGCGCAAAACACAGGCAAAAATGCAAATCTGGTAACCCACCCCCCTCCAAGCCCAAAGGCCACAAGAGGAAAACTCACAGATTTGTCTTTGACGAGGAAAGCGCAGCACTGAATCCCAGCCATCAACATCTTGTGTGGGTTCCACGCCACAGAATCAGCTCTGTTACGTTAACCAGAGGAAAAAACAGGGTAAGGAGGGGAGACTCAGCTTCTTCTGGTGGGAAGAATGCTACGGCCCACTGCAGGTATGTTCAGTATTCACGTCCAAGTCAGCGCTCCAAAGGACGCCCGGTGTGAGTGGTTTGGGGAGTTTGTTGTTTGGAGATTTTTTTTTTTTTTAAGAGCAAAACTATTACTTGGTTTGGGGCCTATTATCAAAATGTCACCTAAGTGGGCACAGTCTGGAGAGATCCCCTTGCCTGAAGAAAAGGCCCGGGGCCTGGGAAACCACACTTACCTGTGGATACCCTGCAAGAGCCTGCGGTGCTTCCTGGACATCAAGGCTGAGCCACCCCAAGAAGCCTGTTGAGATAGTGATATAAACCAAACCACGTTATTTCAGTGTTATGTGTTTACCAGCCAGTTGTCATTTGATACTGTAAGTCGATGTCAACCAATATGGACTCTAGGAAATTTTTTTAAATGTATTTTTATTTTTAATTGAAGGATAATTGCAATGTGTGTTGGTTTCTGCCATATATCAACATGGATCAGCCATAGGTACACATATGTTCCCGCCCTCTTGAACCTCCCGCCCACGTCCCATCCTATCCCACCCCTCTAGGTTGTCACAGAGCCCTGGTCTGAGTTCCCAATGGACTCTGGGAAATTTTGATCACCAGCTCTGCTCAGGTGTCTGAACCTCGTTGCAATAGATGGGTCTCCATTGACGCTTAGGAATTAAATCCCCACATTATAAAAAGACTGGTAAATAACTCGTTGAGTTGCCTGTGGACAAAAGACAGTCCACACACTCTAAAACCTTAGAATCTAAAGTACAGAATAGTCCTTCAATGTTGACAACTCCCAACAGAAGAAAGAGCCCAATATCATGTGGAAAGAAATGGCAAGACTGTGTGTACCATGGATGTGGAAGAGGAAGGAAATGAGAAGTCTCCAGGTTCTCAGAGCATCACAAAAGCTGAGCTCACGGGTGGACAGCAAAGAGGGGCCTCAAGAACAGCCTTCCCGTTCAGGGCTGAGCCCAGGCGCAGGACAGTGAGTCACCCAAGGTGCACCCTTGAGGAGGCGCTCACTTGCAGAGTTGGGCTCTTACGTGGCCCTGGGAGTGAATGTCTCACGAGGTTGTCAAGTACCAAACTGACGTTCTTATTTCTCACACTGATTCTTCCTCCCCTCCTCCAGACTTACTGACTATGGGAGTTCCTTTCTTCTCCTTATTCTCAGCTCACCTCTCCTTTGCTTAAAACAATTATCTGCCCAATGAACCCTAAGGAACCTCAACTGCCTCACGTTCCAGCCCTGCTTCCCTAGACTAGACTCTCCAGTGACCCCAGAAGTTCCCAAAGGTTTGTGGGCCAAAGCTGGCGCACAGGCACATCCTAAAGATTCCCAGATAGAGGACCGATGATCAGGACTGTCAGTCAAACGCCCGTGTCTCTGCCCTGTGTCTCCCACTGTCATTCATGACAGGCCACGTGTGACCAAAGCTGAGCCATGGAGGTGACTGCCCCCAGCCTCTGGGAAACCTGATCTGAACCTGCTGAGGTTCCCCAGGCCTGGGCTGTGAGAACTTGACCCTCTCAAACATGAAAATCACTTACATTTTAGGTTCTTTTACTTCTCTTACAGACGCTAAACTCTAAGTTGCCTGCTTTTCTCAATTCTCTTATCCTTCAACTTCTTGAGAACCTACCAGTGGCAACTAGGGGAAGGGTTGATCAGGAGGACTGGCCACACCCACCACTCTCACCCCTTCTGCCCAACTCACAGCTGCGCTCCCCGGGGCCTCCCGCACTGCCCTCTGCCTCTTCTTCCTCCTCCAGGAGTAGACAACATTCTGCCCGTCTTAGTCAGCTGGACTGCAGTTTTAAAATCCCAGGAGCTCTTTCAAGGCATCAGTTCACTGATTTACAGGGCAGTTAGGCATGGTTGGGGGCTTCCCTGGTAGCTCAGACAGTAAAGAAGCCCTTGCAATGTGGGAGACCTGAGTTCAATCCCTGGGTTGGGAAGATCCCCTGGAGGTGGGCACGGCAACCCACTCCAGCATTCTTGCCTGGAGAATCCCCAGGGGCAGAGGAATTTGACGGGCTGTGGTCCATAGTGTCTCAAAGAGTTGGACATGGCTGAGCAACTGAGCGCAACACAGTACTGGCAGGGTGAGAAACAGCTCAGCCACAAGTGCGGTCCTCAGAAGAACTAAGGAGGGACACAACGCCCCGATGCCAGCGTCCTACTTACACTGGCTTCACTCTGTAACCTCATTTCAAAGCTCGCAACACCAAACCAATGGAGGTCATTATGGACCTCTGAGTTAGGTACCACGGGTACCATTTTACTATGTTTTTCTCTTTAAGTAACTACTTAACAATTTTAAATTGGAGGGCTAATCTTGAGAGGGAAGTGGAGGCAGGGTGGAAGGGAAAGACGGCAGCTCCTAGAGCCTCCGATTTTAGGTGCAGGGTCTGCCACCTTCTCCAGGACGAGGACTTGGGATGGAACGCGGTGAGACACCGCAGGAAGTGTGGCTGGGAGGGTGAGGATTTGCAGCGGCCGCAGCCTCTGCCTCGGAGAAGAGCTGGGCCAACCCTGAAACCCTGGTCTCAGCAGAGGCTGCAATAACCCTGGCTCTCACGGCCAAAACTTTCAACACGCTAAGGTTTTCTTATTCAGTTGTTTAAAAATGCACTGTGATTAGCCAAATTTCAGACACTATCAGGTGTAAGGGAACCATTTTTATGTGGACTGCTGAGAAAGAAAAACATATCACATCAACATACCACTTAGGTATATTAAAGATGTAAACAAAATATGTGTATCTTCGAAATAATAAGATACGGTGTACATGCTGGCCAACTTGGTTTTAAGGAAAATGCAGAACAAGCAATCCTAATTTCATTTTTAAAAAGAAACCCAAGTAAATGCCAGTTTTTAATATTTCAAAGGACCTTTAAAATACCCTCTAGAAAACTTCAAACAGGACAAAGTTATCACTGTAATGTTATTAATTTTTTATCTTTCAAATTAATAAACTTGGTATAGAAAGTTTCTTCAAGAAAAGCTACATGTTCCTGCATAGAATTTTTTCAACAGGACTTCCCTGGTGGTCCAGTGGTTAAGAATTCAGAGGACTCGGGTTCAATCTCTGGTCTGGGAAGACCCCACATGTGTGGAATCGCTCAGCCCATGCGCCACAGCTGTTGAGCCCATGTGCCTACAGGCTATTCTCTGCAAAAGGAGAAGCCTCAGCAATGAGAAGCCTGCACACAGCAACGAGGAGTCCCAGCTGCCGCAACCAGAGAAAGCCCGCGGGGAGCAGCAAAGACCCAGCACAGCCAAAACTAAATGACATTTTTTAAAATGTTCATTAACAGAATGATGTCTATAATATTAGAGGGTGAGTGAGTATTGTCTCAGTGTTAGAGCCAATTTCTTTAACAAGTCACACAAACAGTTGTCAAATTTAATCTAATACTACAAATATGCAAACAACAATTTTCGTGGTTCAAATATTCCCTTATAAAGGGGTTTCCTTAAAAAATTCAACCTCTGGTTTTTAAAAAATCTAGAGAGGTTTTCATTCACGTCTTATCAATCACAATTCTTTCTAAGCCCCATAAATCTCTTAACATCATTCCCAATTTGGAAACTTCTATAGTTACTCTGTTTTACATAAACTATATAATCCATATTTGATGTTTCTTTTATGAGAGTAGAATGTTTAAGTATAACTGCTCATATAGTTGATTTTGCCCCTATTTCCACAGTCACAAAAGTACTCACTTCATATTATCTTTCAGGACATAATGCATTATTATACTTTGTCTATAAAAATCAGTAACACATAAGTTGAAATGTGAACAGATACAAATCCTACAATCTCATTTAAAGAAGTCACAAATAGTTTACCTGACATATTGCCGTTTGCATACTAATCAAACCTGTAACTCTGCTGAGCTTCACATGACTACTGCTGCTTTTGCCAAATATTAGTATACATTTAATGAAAGCTTTGAGTTGCTAAAGAATTCTTTTGATATTATATCATAGAAACCTTACTTTCAATCATCCAAACTATAAAATTAGGTGTAGGTGTATGCCCCAAACAAATGTGCAGTGAGTCAAAAATATTGTCCTTTCTTTGTCTGATAAGGAAGGTATGAACCATTCACTCACTGGAGGGAAGTTCCCTGAAGTCTCATCTTTGGTTCAATGGTTCTTTCTACCAGGTTGGATCAAACTAATTAGCTGCTGGTGTCACCCCCACACAAAGAAAGCCAGAAAACCCAACAAGCACTCTCAACCAGCCGAACTCAACTTTTTAACCCTGAATAAGTAGAATTTTAAGCTACTTTTAATTAAGGAAAACAATATTATGAGCAACCCCAGGATCTACACAACTAATCACACAGAAAGGCCAACCCTTTAAGTTAGAAAAGTATAAACCACTCTCCAATAGCTAGCTATGACAGATCCAGACAAAAGCTGTTTTAATTACAGCATGCAGTGCAGCTATGTAGCTTTTGGCATTTTCTAGCTGACTGGAATCATAGAACGTTACAGCTAGAAGATCCTTTACTGACCACATCAGGCATTTATTTCCCTCTTTACAAACAGAACCAAAACCCAACGAGTTGAGGTCACAATGAAGAGGAGGCAGGGTCGAATCCTAAGTCAGCCTCTCGACTGCACAGTGTGGAAGGGGTCCCCCACACTGTGTTGTCTTAATGACAGTAGATTCAAGGAAACTATCCAGGAGAGAAGAGGAAATAAGAGGAAACCTGGAAAAGTAAGCCAAAATACCCATCGAGTCTTGGGTATCCTCTTCCTTATTACCTAGCAGGATATGACATGCTTATCTCCCCCAATCAGAAATGTCCTTGCTTGCGCTCAATCGCTCAGTCGTGCCCAACTCTTTTGCGACGCTATGAACTGCACCCCACCAGGCTCCTCTCTTCCCAGAATTTTCAGGCAAGAGTACTGGGGTGGGTTGCCATTTCCCTTCACCAGGGGATCTTACTGACCCAGGGATCAGGAAGACACACATCTCTTGTGTCTCCTGCGTTGGCAGGTGGATTCTTTACCACTGAGCCACCTAGAAGTCCCAATTAGAAATATACGTACATTTAGATACAAATAGTTGGAGAGCTCACATCTAGCTCCTGAGAGCATGAAAAACTTCCCACCAAAGCTGCAGAAAGGCTAAAGGTTTAACAGATGTGTGCACGTGGGTGAACTTACGTCCACATGGAGCCAGAGGCCGTGCCTCTCGCAGATGTCCGCAATCTCATCCAGAGGATCGAAGGCCCCCAGCACCGTGGTACCGGATGTGGCACACACCAGGAACGGAGCTGCACCCTGCGAGAAGCACCCACAAGTCAGAGTTCAAGAATCATCATTGTCACCCAAGAATCCGCGCCACAGTGGTTCGGCAAACACAGGGGTGATACATCTGGACGTTGATCTGGTTTCTTCAGAGACAAACATTCATTCAGGAGTGTGTTTACATTTTTCTATCACATGGCCTCTGCCTGATATGATAAGTCACTTCAGCTGTGTCTGACTCTTTGCAACCCTACAAACCATAGCCAGCCAAGCTCCTCTGTCCATGGGATTCTCCAGACAAGAATACTGGAGTGGGCTGCCATACAAATTGCTTAAGAAAATAGAAAATGCGATGATAATAGACTCCTTTGTCCCAACTCCACATGCCTCCTTATTCTCTCTACTCTCATTTTCTTCCTTAAGTCTTCTCTAGCTTTCCCAGATAGAAAGTGAATAAGCTAGCAACTAAGACTTGGTGCTGCCAAGTAAATAAATAAATTTAAAAAAGAAAGTGAATAAGCTCAACTGCTATGGCAAAATGGCTTGCTGTGTGATTCCTAACTCCTTCCCAGGGAGACTCACGGGGGCCCCCTTAGCGCCTCCAAAACAAGAAGGAACAGGCCTGGGAGACAGGCCACAGCCCCAGGGGCAGGCCTCCTAGGCCTGTCTGCTTGTTACCTGGTGAAGGAAGTGTAGCTACAAGGCCACGGGTGTGCTGGCGACAAATCTGGTGACAGAGGGGATACAGTAACCTCACTGGGATGCACTCCCCAAATGAGAGCCGTGATAGAGAAAATTATTAGAATGTGCTGGAGAAGAGGACCTGTGTCTTTCTGCCACGATTATTCCTCCTCATCTAGCCCACAACTACATCTTGCAGAGAGAGCAGGTACCGTGAGAAATGGGAGGAAAGGGAGGATGTGGGAACAGGAATGCTAACTCCCGCCAAGCGAGCCCAGCAGGCACCTGGCCCCATGAGAGGTTTTATGGCAGCCACATAGAAGACAGCATAGGAGGCTATTTTCAGACAGAGCCACTCCACCGTCCTGGCAGGGGTGTGCCTTGAAGGGAAAATCTGCAGACAAAGATGGGGGTGGGGAGTGAAAGTAGAATCCTGATCCAGAGCACCAGGAGTCAGGGACAACAATGCTTACTCGTCAAAGTAAGCATTTTAGGATGATTCCTTTTCCCCTCAATTTTATCTTGAAAGATACTTGTTCTTTTTTTTTAATTTTTTTTTTTTTTTTTCCATTTATTTTTATTAGTTGGAGGCTAATTACTTTACATCATTGCAGTGGTTTTTGTCATACATTGAAATGAATTAGCCATGGATTTACATGTATTCCCCATCCCGGTCCCCCCTCCCACCTCCCTCTCCACCCGATCCCTCTGGGTCTTCCCAGTGCACCAGGCCCGAGCACTTGTCTCATGCACCCAACAATATATTTTATGTCCCATTTAACAACAGGGGTGTTCTGCTTGAACCAGATTCATTCCAATTTAGCTGACCTTTGACAGAAAGACATGACTTCTTGGCTTCTAGATGGAGGCCATCTAGAGCAAGGACGCTCAGCCCACATCTCCAGGCTGAGATGCACAGGAATCACAGTGATGGTACAAGGTGGATCCACCTGCCGTGTGGGGAGGTGGCTGTGACCCGTGGAATCCAGTCCACTGAGCCTCTTGGGAGCAGGGCCCATGGCTGACAGAGCCCCTGGGAACCACGGGCTTCAGGGCTTCTGTCCTGTAATCACCTACCAACGGATTACGTCTTTATCATGCCCATGACCTAAATGAAATGCGACCAAATTTACATCAGTCATTGAAAGCAACAGAAAAAGCAATTTACTAAAACCATTGAAGGTGTCTTTAATGCTGGGGCTTTCCGAATAAACTCTATGACATCCTGACAATTGTGAAAAATATCTGTGCTAGCTATTATAGCCCATTAATGAGTTTTCCTCACCCTTTTAACAATCTAGCTACAAATATAAGACCCACAAATTAAACTTTTGTAATCTGGATTTAACCTTCCATGCTTTTTCCCCTTTCTCATATCTCATGCTACTAATGAGAAAACTCAGTGGAAATAATATTGATTGTGTGTTGCCAATCAGCTGAATTTTCTAACAAAGTTTGTCATTTCAAATCCTCACACACAAAAATACCTCCACTTATTCAGCGATCATATTAGTCTTCTTTTTTTAAAATAAGCACTTTAGAACCTCGGCTGTTTCTGTGGCTTTCACCATCTTTATAACGGCATCAGGGTCAAGGTCACAGCTCAATCAATTAAAACAATTGATTGTGGTTGGTCAGGGAATTGAATCCCAGAAGAAAAACAGAGTTGATGTACTATCTGCTACCTCTGTAAAGGCACAAACTAAAAGTTTGAAACAAACAAACAAAAAAAAACTAGGTCTGAAGAACTGAGAAAAAGAAACTAGTCATGAGGTATGAAGATCTCAGAATGGATGCAAAGTCTGTCCTCAGTGAATCCAAGCTCAAGTTTCAACTGATGAAAGGAAACCGAGACAGACCAACTCTAACCCTGTTGCCCTACTTTAAAATGTGCCTAAAGCAATTCTTACTTTTTAAACACTTCCCTCTTCAAGTCTTCAGCTTCAGATATGCCCCTTTCATGGACTTTTGTTGTCAAAACAAACAGAAATTTGGACGATGAAAATAATAATGACTGCTGTGGAATAAAATCCATCCAGTATGTTAGAAGATGAGTTCTTCATGATACTTTAAAAAGAAAAAACTGTTTGGCTGTCTTTCAGGATGCTTGGTAATTCACTCACTAGTGTGAAAATTGGTAAATAAGGGGAAAAATAAAATATTGATTCTGTCTTGGCTTGTTCAAACTGCTCCTTAGGGTAAGTAAATAGGGATGAAGGAACAAAAATGTTTATGATAGTAGGCCTGCCACTAAATGAAGAAGGAATGAGAGAATTAGCTAGAACGTCACTAATGAGATAGTGGGTCTAGACAACGATGACAAATGGCAGCAAAGTCCGTGAGGTGAGAGGCTGATGCAGAGTTCTGGGACAGATGGACTAATAATATTATAACAAAAGGGGGTCCGAGATGTCTGCTGACTAAAGGGCAAAATGCCACCCATTATGTCTTCCTGGTAAAAATTCCAACCTGAATCTCCCCAAGCCTCAATATCTAAGAGCCAAACAGAAAATACAGAGAACAGACGGGGAGCTAAAGGAACACTTAGAGTCAAATTCTCAATGGAACTGACAAAATCTACAACGTGGAAAACTCTGCAGGACAAAGGCCTTGGTTTCTCTGATGGGTCACTTGCAGGGGGGATAAAGGAAAAGAAGGCTGTAGGTGGGGAAACATTTATGTGATAAATCAACCAAACGCAACGCATGGACTTTATATGAATCCTTATTCAGAGCATGTGCTATTTATTATAAAGGACAATGGGAGAAAATCTAATGAGTGAATACTGGATGATGTTAAGAGCTTATTCTTTCTTAGAAGTGTGTTATGGGTTGGGTTGGGTTTTTTTTTTTTTCAAAGAGAAAGTAAGTATCTTTTGCAGATATACTGAATTATTTGTAGATCAAATATCATAATGTGTAGGATATGCTTCAGAATGATCCAGTGGTGTTCGGAGGGAATGGGGGCAAAAGTTAATGATGGTGAAAGTTGTATGACTTGTATGAGTAATCTCATTATATTTGTTTTACATATATTTAAAATTTTCCATAATGAGAAGTTTAAAATTTAAGAAAGAAAAAAAGAGAGAGAGAAAGAAAGGGAAGGGTGAAGGAAGGATGGAAGGAAGGAATCATATGAACCATACAAAAAGCAGAGTCAATATTCCCCACCAACAAGCATTAACAACATAAGTTTCTTTGATAGGAGCTTCTGTAGAAAAAGATACAATTAGATTTTTAAAAAATAGATAAAGCTAAAGGTGACATCTGTAGTCCACAGCAGAACAAACAGGTTTCAATGTAGAATTTTACTCAAGAGGATAAAGAAATTGGTTAACCTGTACCACCAAACAACTATCAAATCCATTTGTCAATGGAATGTTTTAAAAACACAGATCTAAGGACACACACCAGAAGCCAGTACATCTGCAATAAAAGCAGAACTTTTAAATAGAGAATATCAAACCAAATACAGTGATCGAGCATACTCCAGATAAGGTGAATTCTGGAGAAGTTAAAAAATTATATTAAGAGTAAAAGAACAGAAAAACAGAAATATAATGTCAACACTTGAAAAATAAAAATAAAAGAACTAATTCCTCAGTGTGAAGCCCTCTGAGGACAGAGAAACTTCTATCACAGCTCAAAATCTGAACACATCTGACGCTGTTGCTGCCTATTCGGAAGTGATGGGAGAAGGGTCTGAAGCTTCACTGGCCGCGGGGCTTCCCGGGGATGGGAAGGATGCACAGGAGTGGCTGTACCTAATCCATCAGGCGTTTGGCCCAAGAAGCAAGATGGCTGATGTCAGGCTTAAAAATAAAGCAGATATTGGGGCCAGGCCTTGCCTCAGTAGAGCAGGTGAGGAGGGCCATGCCTTGCCTCCTCTAGCAATGGGCAGGCCAGTTTTCAAACATTCTGGAAGCCAGGAAGAGAGGACAGTCTGCCAGAGCAGAAATACTGGGCTCAGACCCAGAGGGGGTGACAGTTACGGATGGGCTTCACAGGGAAACAACCCAGGAGGATCGTGTGATCAAGAAGTCAGAAACCATCCTGAATGCAGCCCAGAGGTAACTGGTTTGGCCTGAGGCATCCGCAGAGTCAGGAGCTCTAGAGCCGCAAGAGAGGCCAGAACAAGCTTCGGAAGCTTATTCTAGGCAAGAACCTAGTACAGGGTGACATCTGTGTTTCAACAGGCTCCAGCCCCCTGGGAACGAGCACGTTCGAGAAGCTCCACAGAACACTTAGAGCAAGCACCAGACACAGCAGCTCTGAGATGAGCTCCCTCCGCCCACCCGGGGAGGACCTCTTCCCTCCCGGACACACAGAGGGGGCCAGGCCGCTGCCCGCGTCCTCTCCTTCAGGCCCAGACACGCCCATGTTCCCCCTCCCTCCCTCTCCTGGCCCACGCACCTCTTTCTCGGCCTCCTGCACGCGCTTCTCCAGCTCTTCAGGTATCATCTTACCTCTGAGAGAACAGATTTGGGACACAGTCAAAATCGGCAGAGAACAGACGTGGGACAGCTTTGTAAATGGTGTCGATCCCCGCCGCCACCGCCCCAGCCAGGCTTCTGGATCCTCTTCCGGTTACCTTCCATCTGTCTCCACAAAGCGCACATTCTCAGTACCGATCCCAAGAAAGGAAGCAGACTTCTCCATGGAGTAATGACACTACATTCAAAGAGGTGAGGGGGAGAGAGACACGGATACACGGCGTGAAAAAGGTACTGCGTATTAGCACATGGGTGTGTCACACGGCTGAGCCCAATCGCTGCAGTTGTATTGCCTTAAAACATAAAAGGCATTCATTCAACTGAGCTCTTCAGTATGGTGGTCAAAAACACTGCCTTCCCTTGGGATCAGAGAAACCAAGATTTAATTCCAAGTTCTCCCCTACAGATATGGACCCTTGAGCAAAGAACGCATGCTCTCCGAGCCTCGATTTGCTAATCTATAAAGTGGCTATGTGGGTGCCTCCTCCATCTGCTTGACATGCAGTTAAACAGTTAATGCATGTAAACAGCCAGCACAGAGCCTGGTGAATGAACAAACTTGGTCACTGAAGGTGGTTGTTTTCCATAACACTAAGGAAAAGTTTTTCTTGATGCTTCTAATAAAACTCAGTATTGATGGAAACAGAATCTAGTCCACTGCTGACTCAAAAACCCTCTAAGGGGTGATCAAGACTCTGTCTCAAAAACTGTAATCACAGACCACCAGAAGAAGCCATTTTCAAGAGCGAACAATGAGCTATACATGCTGATCAGATACTTGACTAGTCTCGTTTAATACTGACTATAGGACTGAAATTAGACATGAGGGAATGTGGCTAAAATCACAATAACGAAAGTCATAATAGTTTGGGATTTTCCTGGTGGTCCAGTGGTTAAGCCTCTGTGCTTCCACTGCAGGGGGCACAGGTTCAATCTCTGGTTGAAGAACTAAGATCCCAAATGTCACGTGGTGCAGCCAAAAAGTAAATAAACAAAATAAAATTTTAAGAAGTAACACTAATTTACATATATACTATGAGTTATAGCCCTGGCAGGAATGAGGCTAAAAGCTGTCTTTGGAATTAGGTCTTGTCTATTTCTTACTGGCAAATAGTAGTATATACTCTGGATTGTTGGGCCTTTTTTCTCTACATAAATCCCATAAAATTATTAACACTCAAACACTGGAGATGTTTCTCTTTATACATCAACATGGACAGGCGGTCAGTTAATTCTTTTTCATGCCAGAAAAACTGAAGGTGCTAAAGGACATTATTGTACCAAAAAAAAATTTAGTCATTTAATTTGTAGGTATGAATACATTAAACGAGTAGTCATGCCTTCACACTTAACTTGATATATTCCCTCAAATGTGGTAATTTTTTCCCTCTTTTGTCAAGAGAGTTTTATGGAGAGCTCTTTTTTTAACTCTATAAAAATACATGCCGAAGTAACACCATCAGGAGAAATGACATCATCCTAAAAAAATTAATTTCCAAATATCGAATAGGACACATTCAAAATGCCTCTAGGATGCATTCATTTCAGGTTGTTACAAGAACACATGCATAGTGAAGAGTAATAATGTACATGAAAACATAGTTAATTCTCTACTTGCTACATCAGTCCACCATAGCTAAGGTGACAACTAAGGTGAATTATTTCTCACCAGAGACTGGGGCCTCTGGCACCAAACAGCTATTGATTTCATAATGATAAATAGCAGCCTACCCCCACTGACATATGCCAGTAAGGAAAATCACACTGCTTTGCCCTGAAAAATAGCAACATATCCCCAATCAATGGATCTGCTGAATAAAACCCTCATCATCAGAATAAGAATAGCTTCTGGAGCTATTTTTGGATATCTCTGGGCAAACTGGGAGTCCAATGGCAATCTCAAATGCATAAGGACAGATTTTTTTTTCAAAGTCTGAAAAACTGAAGTCTAAACATCTGAGAACATCAGAGTAGGAAAAGAACCTTGGAAAGGGGGGAAAAAAAAGAAAGGGTGATGCTTCAGATATACTGAGCAGCTTCAAGGGAAGGAAAAACCTAGAAGCCAAGTTCAGAAACAACAGCTGCGTTTAGACACAAGAATGCCTGCTCCCTTCACCGGCTGGGTTTCACCGTCCCACAGAAGGTGCACGATTCTCAGCAGGCATTTATTTCTATAAAGACAAGACAGCCAATGTCCACATGAAGGACAGAGCTGCATGGAAATTTTCATTCCTGGTTCCAGGAAAGCTTTCCTCTGTGACCTTGATTTTCTCAGAGCATTGTCGTTTTCCATGCTCAAGGGTTGTGATGTGGACACTCGGATTCCTTCTAACATGCTGACTAGTTCAGTGCTCAGATGAGCTTCAGGTGGTGGGGAGAGCACGGTCGTGACTGTCATGCCTTAGGAAACGAGGAAAAGGAAGTATAGGGACTTCTCCAAGAGCACACAGCTGGTTCGATTCCTAAAGAGGCAGAGTTGGGATCCAGATGGACTGCCTTTCTGCACGACATCCTGGAAAGCACCTGCTCACCCCGTCCATGCCTGCGATGGTCCTGGACCTGGGGCAGCCTCACTAGAGAGCAGGGCCACACAGTGGGTGGAGGGGGTGAGGCACCTCCAGTGCAAAAGTTAAGAAGGTGTGACCTTGAGACGTGTACTCTGGTCACCTCACTGCCTCACCCCAGCCTGGACCCTGCTAGAGAGGAAACAGGACAACTGGCTGCTGGCCTGGGAGTGAAAAGGGCTTCCTTCCTCCTCGCTTTTGAGTGGCAGACAATATGCACTACTTCATGCTGATTTCCAAAATGATTTGAATGACAAAACTAAGATTTCCCTAAATTTAAGGAATTCCTATGTGCAAAGTTGCTTTAGTCGTGTCCAACTCTTTGTGACCCCATGGACTGTAGCCCGCCAGGCTCCTCTGTCCGTGGGATTCTCCAGGCAAGAATACTGGAGTGGATTGCCATGCCCCTCCTCCAGGGAACCATCCCGACCCAGGGATCGAACCCATATCTCTTATGTCTCCTGCACTGGCATGTGGATTCTTTAACACTAGCGTTCATATTTAACTGCTAACCAAGCTACAAATGTTTTTTACTTTAATTATTTCTCTCCAAAAGTTCCCTTTCCTTTGGGTCCCCTCTGGCAAGGCAGGGCTACTGTGGATGCACTTATAGTCTATGCTATAGGCTCTCTGCTATGATCTGCTCAGTTTCCACCAATATCTGAGTGACTGTGGACACCTGAACTTATGCAAAACACCTTTAGAGGTGAGGACACACATTCTGCAAGGTAGAGATGGAATAGCTGCCCTGGTTCATGTAGGGCTGCATAATAACTAGAAAAGTAAGGCCACCGAACAAAACAGTCTGGGGAAATAATCAGGAGACCACGGGTCAGCACTTGAAAGCAAACAAGGGGAATATAACAAAAAGATTAGTATTTAGGATCTTTTAGGGAACACAGCTTTAATTCCCCTTTTAAAATAAGTAAGGAATGGATGTGTTGTAAGTAGTGGTAAAGAGGACACTGAAATACAAATTAAAATAATACACATGCTGTGACCTGGGTCTCTTTGGCAGATCAAGGGAAAAGGATGCTACAAAGAAACAGCTACAAAGACGAATGTGGATGGACGGGGCAGACATGCATATATTCAAGGCTGTCGTGTGCTCACAGCTCTGTGGAGTTCACTTTGTTGTGGACAGGATGCTTGGGTCCCTTCAAATGTCCGGCCCCCAGTGTGATGGTCACTAGGGCAAAGTTCCTGTGGAATGAGTGTCCTTGTAGGAAGGAGGAGGCAGATCCCAGTCTGACCGCAAGTGTGGACAGAAGAAAAGCCATGTGAGCACAAAGTGGCTCCAGGCCAGGAAGCGGGCTCTCGCCGGACACTGAATCTACCAGCACATCCACCGTGGATGCCGGCCTCCAGGTTTGTTGAGAAATCCATGTCTGCTGTCTGGGCCACCCACTCTATATTTTTCTAGAGCGGTCTGAGCAAACTACGACGCAGGTCGAGTGTGGCTTTCTGGCTTCATCTCCTGCTGGCACGTCAGCCGAGGCATATATTTCACCTCTTTTCGCACACACATCTCCAACAGAGATTTTAAAAAATACTCAGCTCTTGGTTTCACAACTCCACAAGGCTTCAGTTTTTTTTTCATGCCCAATTTGCCAGCTACACGTGTGTTACTGGTCTTCCCCAGGCATCATCTTCATTTTAGTCTTCCACAGAATTTCTTCCCCACTTCCAGGGCAATTATTTCATAAAAGAGCTCTGGTACATGTTATTTATTTATTCTTTTTTAAAAAATTTATTCTTAATTAATTTTTGGCCACACCACATGGCATGCAAGATCTTAGTTCCCTGACCAGGGATTGAACCCACTTCCCCTGCAGTGGAAGCACAGAGTCTTAACCCCCAGACAGCCAGGGACGTTCCTCTGGTACCTTTTAAACCAAATGACAAATGAAAAAAGGCAAAAGTAAAAGCACTGTGCTGATAGCAGGGCCGCTTTTTAATCAGCTTTTCCAGGCATGGACATAGCAATTCAAATGCAGAAGGGACTCTGCATTTCTGATATCCTAGGGTTCCTCTGCCTGAAATACTGAGGGTAGGAACCCAGGCAGGAAACTCTACTCCATCATAATCTCAAGAAACCAAGCCTTTCCCTTAGAAGTCCACATTCCTAAATATCCTTCTTTTGCTACAGAAAGAACATCTCATGAGGAAGGGCCTGGGGAGGTAAGTTCAGAATCTCAGATGAGATGACTCCTCCTAGCTGCCCCCAACTCAATGTCCACTCTGCATTTAGTGCTGAGCTAACCAATGGTCAGGCAGGACAGAGGAAACACATAGGGGTGGTCAGGTTCCCGCACAGATTATACTTTGTGATAATAAAATAACTTCTGCTCTTGGAAGAGACTAACAGATACAGGAAAGTCCAGTTGGAATTAACAGAAAACTGTCAGCTTTTGCCCATCTCATGTGTTTGACAGGAGATCTAGGATTACTGCAGGAGGAGGAGGGGACATGGGGAAAAAGCAGTGGTGGGATGGACAGAGGCCCCCACTGGAACCACAAACAGAAAAAATAAAAAGCATCCTTTCCAAGTAACAGCATTTGAGCTGCGCCCCATGTTAGTGTAGCTGGGTTGTTCTCCTCCTCCTGAGCGCATGTGTGCTAAGGTGCTCCTCCTGTCCAACTCTTGCTACCCCATGGACTGTAGCCCGCCAGGCTCCTCTGTCCGTGGGATTCTCCAGGGAAGAACACTGGAGTGGGCTGCCGTTTCCTCTTCCAGGGGATCCTCCTGACCCAGGGATTGAACCTGTGTCTCCTACACTGGCAGGCGGGTTCTTAACCACTAGCGCCACCTGGAAAGCCCTCTCCTCCTCCTGTTACTACAAAGATCTAACATTTCTGTCTAGGATGCGCCAGGTACTACTCCACATGCTCTAACTCATTCGATCTCTGGTGATAACTAAGCTCACACGGCTCCTGGGTCGTTTCCGTGGCTCCAGGCTGCTCACCGCCCCCTGTATCCAATCCTTTCTCCAGGCAGCTTTGCAGAGAGTCTCCTTAAGAGGTGAAGTCTATTTCCCTACTTCTTGGATCTGGGTTCCTATATGCAACTTACTCTACCAAGAAAATGAGGGGAAAACGACAACGTGCCAGTTCTGAGCCCGAAACTCAAGAGGCCCAGCGTGTCTCGGTGTTGTTTTTCACCTGCACCGTTGCCATGACAACGGTGGACCAGCCTGCTGGAGCATCCCTGTAGTCAGCCCAGCCCAGCCACGCCCAGAGCAGCCACGGGCCAGGCAAGCCCAGCGCTGCTCGGCTGTCCCCAAACCTGAGGGCCATGTCTGGCTATAGCTGCATGCTGCTGGGTTTAGGAGGAATCTGTTACGTATTAGAGCTAACTGATACACTCATCTTTATAAATTAGGAAACTGAGTCTCAGCGGGATGCATCGACTTACCCAGGTCACTCAGAGAGTAGGCAGTGGAGATAGGAGCTGACCCCGGGCAGCCTAGCCACGGGCCTCTGCGCTCACCCAGTCTGGCCTCTCACTGCAGTGGGGGGCTGCGGTAACACCTCCTCGTGTGTCTGTGTGACGTCACTGTCACTGAATACCTCCCTTTCCTCGGAGGGCCCTCACGTTAGCCACTCAACACAATCAGTTTCCCAAGGAGATGGGAGCGGAAGACAGAGCTGATATCACGAGCAATCACCTAAATTCTAATAAATAAGACGCTCAAAGCAGAGATTCACAGAAAGAGGTGGCACTTTGAAATTAAGTGTTCTCTTTTCTCCAACAACACGTTACAGACTATAAATCTTAAATAAAGGTGATATACAAAAGAGGGTGGTCAGGGCTTACAGTATCAAATGCATCAGAATTTCTTCTGGAATGAAATATGACACTGTACACAGCACATGACTTAGACACTGACAAAAAGCACCCTTGGAAGCCCCCAAACAAACAAGCCCTCTTCCATGACATGTTCATTTTCAGAAAATCTGTGTCTCATATCAAAAATAATTTTATTTTTACCTCTGCAGATGTGAAAAGGATTAATCTTGGCATGCCAGACAGCCCCTTTTCCTTAATACCAGGACAGTACTTGTATCTGGCTAAATTCATGGCATACATATTGGACACTGAACCACCTGCAAAAACAAAAATGGAAATATGGATAGCATGACGTCATTGTCCCCAGATGCCAGCTGCAGTGGGAGGCGTGGATGGCTGTGGGCACACCTGTCTAGTGACAAATGACTGTCAAAATCACGGGACGACCCCCGCCCATTCCTTTTACACACATCCTCATCTCCAACTCCAGAAGTTTTGGTCTCTTCTCTCATTCCAGAGTTTTTCTAAACTCAAAGCTTCCATCTATGGATGGAGGGCTGCTACCCAAGTGTCCATAGCTAATAGTAATAATATTCTTTCTGTCTTTAATCAATAAAATGACAGTATATGCTCCTCCCTGGTCCCTAAGAAAGACTGTAGGGGAAACAAAATACAATTCAGGAAACTTCTCAAGTAAAATGAATTGATAAGCTTGATAAACATATAATAGCCCTTCAAACTCCCACCAGTAGATAAATTCATTTGTGTTGGATATAAATCCAAAGTTTTAGGCATCTCATTTGTTGGCGTGTATGTCATTTCTGTAGCATTTATAGAAAATATCATACTCTGGAGGAAGGCACAAACTTGATCCTCCCCAAGGAGCATACTTCATACCTAACTTCATGTCATGTGGAAATCTGCAGGGAGTTGTTCCTCATATTAAGGCAGGAATAAAATTGCAGATGCTTTAACGGAAGCAATAACTAATTGGACTTACCTGGGTTAAATATTCCATCCCCTTCTTTCCAGCCAATAAATTCAATCATTTTCTTCAGAACCGCTTCTTCCACTAACAGAAACACTGGGGACACCTCATACGTATAACTAGACAGATATAAAAAACACTTCACTTCTATGACTAGAGTCAAACCATCCCTATGGAGTCCCAAGAAATGCACACAGTTTTATGAAACCAAGTGGCTGCTGAAGTGTGGGGAGAGTCTTTGGAAACGAATCCATCAGAGATAAAGAAATACACAGAGACTGTGACAGTGCTGGTCATGGCTGGACAAATGCCGGTAGCTGGTGTGCTAGGGACGCTAGCTACTTCGAAGTCTTAATTTACAGAAAACTTTTGCTTCCATTGGGAGAGAGCAAAGCAGTGCATCTGTAGTCTTTGTATTAACCATGAGCAGTGGCCGTTTTGCTCTTTGGATGCTGTTTTGGAGGTTGGTTAAAGAAAAACCATTGTCGTGGCAACCAGGTTTATTAGGCTGCTACCATGAGCTACCCTAGCAGTCAGCTGTAGAGCCTGGGTTTCCTCCACCACACTCACATGCTGGTACAAATGGCAAGAGCACTATGGACGTCTCTTACAGAGTGATGACTTTACTATAAAGTGCTACCTGGATCCCTGTTGTGAAGGTTTGTGGCTGAGGGTTGGAATGCTGTCAGCAGGGAGCATTGCTAAGTTAACCCCTTTAGGCATGTCCTGTGGTCATCCACACCTGATGACTGGTCCATCTGGAGGACCAAGCAGGCCTGGCCACGTGGGCCCAGCTCCAGAACACCCTGCAGAGCCAGGGTAGCTCCAGAGATCCATGGAGTCGCTGGTGGGGTCTCACAGCCTGCATGGGGGCTTGACTCCTAACTCTGCCCAGCTGTCTCCTTCCCCTCCAGCACCCATACAGATCCTAGGGGTTCTCCTTAATAAACACCCTGCTCACTAAGCGCCCAGGAACCCCAGCCTGAGACAGTTACCAGGTCATTTTGTAATGCTTCTTTCTTTCTCCAGAAAGCTGGAGGATGACTACTATGTATCATCTCCTCCAATAATTAGGTGATTACACTAAATTGAATCTGAGTAAATGTGTACCCTAAATAAGTAAGCTAAAGCAAGCTAAACAGACATATTTAAATTTATAGTCACGGGATTTAATGCAATTATGCTAACATCTAGAAGAAGGAAAAAAAAAAAAATTTGGTAAAGAGGGGAAAAAGAATACCTACAGTATATCACCTCCCTACGTGCCAAGCACTCTACAGACATTACATCATTTTTCAACAATTTAGGTTCTATTTTCAACCATGTTTAGGAAACTAACACATACTAAAAGTGTGAAAAATGGGACATATGTTAAAAAATATTACAAATAAAAGGGAAATAATCATTTCCTTTTTAGTACGAAAAAATACTATTAAATTTGTCTTTGGAAACTAGCTCAACTATAAACCTGGAGGTGGAGGAGGGGGTGATACAGAATGTGCTCATGGCTTAGTGAGATTTTGAGGGGCCTGTTCAGCAATTTAATACTTAAAAAGCCTCTAAATATTTCAGTAAAAGAACCCAGATGAGGAGTTAGAAAAATCCCAGGACTTACAAGGAAAGGGTCATGGAATTGTGTAATTTTACTATCTTTCCTACCACATATCTCTTCTATCCATTGTAACCTGGTATCTGGGATTGTCTTGAATATTCTACCAAAAATTCTCTGACGGAAGTCACGCATGACACCCATATAGTTAATCCAGGGGATATTTGTCACTCTTTGTCTTAAACACTCAACAACATGGGACTCTGGACACACTCTCCTCCACGGCCCCCAGACATCCCCTGGACTTTCTCCCCCTCCTCCCTCCATTGCAGGCGGGCACTCCGTCTCCGGACCAGGGAATGTCAGATGCCCTCAAGGCCAGGCTGAGCCCTCTGCTCTCCCCCTCCATGTTCTGTCCTGCAAGCGGTGCTTCTCCCGCTCCTGGTTTATTTTTATTTGAAAGTATCTCCATCCTGCTCATTAAAATCACTCGTTGGGCTATGAAAATGTATCAGTGCCTGGGACACACTGACAGAAATTCAGATTTACTTGGTCTCCATTGGGATTTTTCGTGGTAGGGGGTGGAGGTGATATTTTCCTTTAATATTTTTTTTAAAGCTCCCAGGTTGAGGTAAAGAGCAGGAGTTGAGAATGCCTGACTTAAGGAATCTCATCCATGACCGGTAACATCTAAATTTAGAATTTCATAAAAATACCAGGATTCCAGGCCCATGTATATCACAACTCTCCAAGAGCATACTCTTAGATATTTTGAAATTACTGCAAACACAAATGCTCACAATTGAAAATTGAATTACTGCTCTTGCTTTTTTCACTGTATACTTGAAAACTCTCATCTCAATGACTGACATGACCATCAACCCAACTATTAAAGCCAGAAACCTAGGCATCATCTTATAAACTTCCCTCATGTTCCCATTTCCAAGATCCAGTATATTCTCCAGGCTTTTCTGTTTTATCTTCCAAACACATTTTTTTTTTTTCTATTCCTACCACTTCTCTCTTAATCCAAGCAACTATCATCTCTGACCTGACTAAGGCAATGCCAGCCTAATGGGTCCCTTCCAATCCACTTTCTATATTTCCAGTGATCTTTTCAGTAGGCAAATGTCACTTAGTGATTTGGAAATCTTCAGAGGCTTTTCATTGCAGTTAGAATGACTCATGAGCCTGGCCCACTGGCTCCCCCACGTCTGGCTCCAATCTTATCCCCCCAACACCCCTCACAGTTTTCTCAGCTTCACCACCCTGACTTTCAGTTCATAGTGTATGTCAGGCTGTCTCCTGCCACAAGGCATTTGTACATGCTGTCTCCTCTGCTTGGAATTCATCCCTCCTCTTTTCACCCAGCTAACGTCCACTCATTCTTCAGCTCTTAGCTACCAGCTGCTTAGAGAAGACTTCCCTGAGTACACAACTAGGAAAAATTGTCCCATGTATATTTATAGCATCACGTACCTCTCCTTCACTTGAAAATATTACATTAATCTGTGCAGATCATTTTTATTAATTTGCATGCAGCATCTCTATATCCAGATTATTTGCTTCATGAAGGCAAACCTAAGATCTGCTTTTACACAAAGAATCTCTCCAGCACCTTAGCACAGATATGGTTTTTCATGCAGGAATAAATGAAAAGTTGCTTAATAAATTTTCTCATCTGTTAAGTGGAGAGACTTCCTGCCTTCACCATCCCACAGTACCACTATCAGATCAAACTGCTCTTTAAACACTGCTAATGTCATAAGACTCTTCCATTATTTATGATGACACTGCACCAGTGAAACAGTTAAACAGAAGTTCATGAAATAAAACTTCATCTACTTAACAAAATCTCTAATCCATATTCAGTGTAAAATTCCAGTAAAATGTACTTACACACTTGGGTTTAATGCTTCTGTCATAAATCTGGCTACCAAGGAGTAATAATCAAGTCCAGCATATAACTGGTTGAAAAATCTTGGATGGTCTGTAAATTGAAGCAGAATATTAATCCACACAACAATAAAAAGGAAAGAAAACTATCGATATAGCAGTAACATAAGTGAATCCTCAGACAGTGAAAGCAGCTATACCAAGGGCATACAGTGCATGATTCCAGCTACATGATGTTCAATGTGGGGCAAAGCTGACTGATGCTGACAGAGGGGAGAATTCTGGGTGCCTCTGGCAGGAGATACTGATTAGCACTGGGTTGGAGGAGCCTCTGGAGTCCCAGGAATGGTCTATACCTTGGTCTGAGTGATGGTCACTTACATGCAAATATGTACAAATTCACTGAGTTGACCACCTGAGACTTGTCCACTTTACTGAATGCACATTATACCTCAATTAAAAAGAAAAATTTAAATCTAGTCATGTACAAGGGAACCGAATGTTGAAGCTCCATCTCATAAGCCTGTCTACTGAACAACATTTCTAAGCAAACCTTGAGCACTTTTTTGAGACTTTTGGTTTACTTATTTCATTTCCTTTTAGTGATTTTTATTCATTTGTTTATTTTTTGGCTGCAGTGGGTCTGTGGCTGCACGTAGGCCTTCTCTAGCTGTGGCAAGTGGGGGGTCCTCTCTAGTTGCAGTGCACGGGCTTCTCACTGTGGGGGCGTCTCTTGTGAAACACAGGCTGAGGTGCAGGGGCTCTGCAGCTGTGACGTCCAGGCTTAGTTGCTTCACAGCATGCAGTATCTTCCCAAGCCAGAGATCGAACTCATGTCCCCTGCATCGGCAGGCAGATTCCTACCTGCTGTATCACCAGGGAGGTCCTACCTGTTTCCTTTTAAATCCAACCCTGACGCAAACCAGAACCCTGAGAAAGGGATTATTTGAGCAATCTGTCCACATATCAAAAAGCCTGTGGCTACCTTTACCTTCTGAAATTATCAGTGTCAATTTCCCTAATTTGAACACATTTCACTCACTGACAGGGTTCACTTCAGGCTCTTGGCAGTGAGTGGCCTTTTAATTTTTCAGATTGGACCATTTTTTTATGGTGCAGCTGGCATCCTGTCTATGGAGTAAGATGTGACTCATCGCGCAGCTTACATAAACTTTCTGATTCAACCGGCTTCAAAGGCATTTGCCTTTAAGACTTGAAAAACTTTAGTTCCAACTTTCTATTTTTTCCCTCCTATAAAAGGTCTCACAAAGGTTCTTGGCTTTACACAGTGTGAATATTCACACCAAACTCCAGGCTAACAGCTGGCATGACATTCTCAATCATAAGAAGCCCAGCATGATGAAGAATAAAGAGGCAGGGGGCCTATTTAGAAATGTGGGTATTTGGGAACCATTTTAGTTAGTGACCTCTCACAGCAACTCAAAGCATTTGGCTTCTTTTTCTCTTTAAACTAGTTCAGTGAAAAACAAGAGGCTCAAAAGAAAATGTCTTTTCGTATAAAACATGGCAAACTTCCTCTAATCTGGCAAAGGAAACCCGACATTGCTATAAGTAATTTTAATAAGTTTTTTTTTTTTAGTTCCGTGTTAATTTATGATTGATTTCCATGGTAACATTATGGAAAATATCCAGTAAACTGAAAAATCTACTGCACTAAATGTCATTCTGTGCTTCTGACATGCACTATAATAATGAGATATGTATCTCTGCTTTTGAAATGCTAACTGGGTTTTTGATACATGCACCAGACTTTCCTAAGGGAATATAAACCAATTATTTTTAGCCAGGATTTTATTATGTTCTTTCCACTAAATTTAGTTCAGTGTCAGAACTCACAAAGCATAATGCCTGTATGGTCTTAAGTACTAGATTACCTTTACATCACACTGAGAAATGCATATTCTAGAAAGTTTTTCTCCTACTTTTCGAAACTTGTTCACTGGGTGTATAGTATATTAGCAGTCAGTCAGAGTAGGACTTAAGTAGAAAACAAATATCATGTTGCTGCATTTACAAAAGATAAG